AGGAATGGACGACCGTTTCGTCCTGACTCATCAACAGTGCGCATCCACAACTTTTTACATGATCTTAATCTGAATTCCTAACACTCTTGAAAAGCAGTTACTATTCGCCCTATAAAGCCAAAGTTGGATAACACTGCTGTATATATATGTCACCACATGATATGTTAGAATGTTTTCTCATTCATTCGATCGGACCAGTTAGTAAAATATAGTTCTGTCTAGATCCTCTACGTTGTAGTTAAATTTCATTGACTTCGGGGGAATAAGAATTCCTGATTTCATACCAGAACAGTCAGGTAATGGTATTTTTTTTTCATAAAAAAACTATCCAATGCTTCACAGTGCTAACTCAACTAATGATGAGAGTGTAAAGAAATTCACTTATCTTGTTTTTTTCAGAAATCTACTATTACTCAAACGTTTAATACATTTTTACTGCATTCATCTAGTCTTTCCATCAAGAGTTTTCATTCAGAACAGCTTTTTCTCATAACATTGATTGTTCCATAGTTCTTGTATAAAAAAAAAACCTATTCACATTTTTAATTTCAGATTATTATTATTGTTAAACTAACTACCCTGATTGTTAAGCGAAGTTAATTTACCCACATATATTCTATTAACTACCCACATAAAAAAACACAACAATATTATTTCTTCATTAAGGAAATATTTTATCTTCTAATAATTTTCCATGAAAAATTAAATACTTTCCAATTAATTTTCATTCTCAGTTACCCGCATTACATATACTTATTTATTTTTTTGATTTGAATAGAAAATTCTTTTTCTAGGGAATAAAAATAATTTAATCAAAAATTTCCGTTTACATTATTATCAAAATCTATTTTTTATTTGAATTATTTCATGAAAATAAGGCGGGCAGATATTCTTCAGGATTATTTTAAAATAAACAAAAAAACAAATGCACGTTCAATGTTCAAAATAAATTTGTTTACATTAAGTACAATCTAGGAGTAGTAGTAGTGGTAGTAATTTAAAAAAGAGGGGAAAAACTAAATGCAACCAAGAAAACATGTTTCATTAGGCAGGTATACGGGTTACACGTGACTTATCGAGAAAATACCACTATATAGTAGAGGAGACTTAATGATGATTATCAAGTACACTTCTGAGTGATTCACTTTAGTAAACCAATAAATTTCAATTTAAATGAGAGAATTTCTTTTGTATGAGCAATTGACAAAAGCATATTTTTAATTGATTGTGAATTTTACAAGAGAGTGAGACAGTGTAGGAGGAGAGAAGAAGAAGAGTTAGAAAAGAAGGGTAAGCAATAATGATGACTAGTCATTAAAACAATGAAACAAGAATTTTAATTCATTTCATTCACTCAACCATATAATCAATTCATCAGAGATTATTGAATAAATGGTCTTGTAGGAATGTGTACAGTTTATAAAATGATTACCGTGAAAAAAAATGCAATCAGATAGAGAATTAATGAAAATTTTGAAATAACGGATAGAGGACTTGTCTTATAGTTTTTTGATATTCTTCAACTATACGGATTAATCGCTTAACGTATGGGATTAATTTCTACTCTTCAGTCATCTTAGTCTGAATTCTAACATCACAATAAAAAAGTGTCATGGAATACGTAAGACAGTGTACACTACCCTGATTGGTCAGTTGTTTAACTAGAATAATTTGAGCACTAGACTACCATCTAACTTATTCATTGATGAATATACTGCACAGGGCCAGTGTTTTTAGGAATTTAATAGAGTAAAAGGTGGTCACGAAATTGTGGTCATGCTCAATATGTTAATGACCCAGTTGATCAGCATGTAAAGTATAGTCATTAAAACGATAGTATCCTATGGTGTAACAAGCTTGTTTTTAAGACCTTGTAGTTGTACCTAATAAACATACCACTTCGCGGGATAACAAATGTTAATCAAGTAAATCTAGAAATCAGAAAAAGGACGATTCTAGATGAAGCAGTATATTTATTGCCAGCCTCGTGATATCGAAATAATCACGAAACTAGGGTAAACTAGCGGCTAACAACGAGCGAGGAGAGAAGACCGAAAAGCAAAGACACGCTTGGCGCGCGATAGATAGTCTTTAGTAAAGATAAACAAGAGGTATACAATGTAACAATTGTTGTCAGAATTAAGTACAATAATAAATGTTTATATTTCAGCAATTGCGTTTTCTTCGTAAAAGTATACCACTACAACCTCTAAATAGTTACTTATAAAACTGTTGCAGATAAAAATATTTACCAAGGGACAAAATAGGTAACAGTTTATTCTTTCGGTAAACTATTGATCTTATATCAGTAATTAGACTGACAAAAGTAGATTTGTGAGGAGTATAAAATAACTGATCTTTTGGATAACAAAACTTCCACTATTGTTCTCGTGGTCAGTTAATAAAAATGTTTTATAATTCACAAATTGTTTAAGCAAGTATGAGCTGTGATCCTGTGATAATATCACTAGTATATAGAGATATTTAGTTTTGGTTAGTACTGTCCAGTATGCAAGCTGTTAAAATCGAGTTCGCATGGCTGCCTAATAAGTAGATGTTAACAATATATTCAAGCAATTTTTGACTTAACAGTTTTTCACCTGACGCAGTACAACAGCACTGTCAACGAGTAATTTACTCTTTTATTTTTAAAATTTATTTGTTCATTCTGTTATTCATAAAAATGAATGATTTGTCTAAGAGACAAATTTGTGTTTTTCGCCTGATCTCAATTTTGGTCCGTGGCTTGTTTAGGGCTACATAAAATTTTGTTTAGACAATGTGCTACTGACTATTTGTTAGTAGTGTATCACGTATTATAAAAAGTTGTGTTATATTATAACGCAGTCATAGAATATCGAAATCTATTGGTTGACGTGCAACCTTCAGAAAGTTATTGATATTTTGATATATTCTCTTAGATCAATGAGTTGTCTCTAACACATTTAATCCCACTTTTAGTCAGTTACGTGGAAATTATTGTTTTTCTTCTGCTTGAGCTGTTCAAATTGACATAATTTTCTTAATATTTACATGCTACTAAGATAGTGTTATGGTTTACTGTGCAGGTGAATGAACTATCAAATTATCAATATATATTACTTGATTTAATTATGTGTAATTTTCTTTTCATTTCTAGGAATATGTGAATTTGGATATTCATGAAAACTGTAGATACTCTATCATCCTTTTCATACGGTGAAAACGACAAAGTATGAAGCTCAAATTACATGGAATATTTATTTCGATGGATGTGGATTCTATTCAGAATAATGTGTAAATAAGACTTTGATCATTGTTCTTTTGTTTAAACTAAATTCCTACCTTAATGATGTCACGATTGATGGATTGAACAACAGACATTTTTTAATCATACAAACTGCATGAAAAGGTCAAGAATTTAACATATATGGTTCTTAAATAATGATATTATTTAAAATTATTTCGACTATCGTTGTAGGTAATCTACACAAGGTTACTTACTCTCACCCATTCTCGTTCTTCTGGTGGTGGACTGGATTATGAAGACGTAAACATATGAGGGGAATCATGGGATACAGTGAACAGCTGAGATGAAGCTGAACGATCTGGAGTTCGCAGATAATCTATCCTTTCTATCCCAGATATAAAGACAAATGCAGGAGGGAACGACTGATGAAGCAGAAGCCTCTGTATATCTCAGCATACACAAGAGAAATATCAAGATCGACCGATACAACACAACCAACAACAACCAAATCACACTTGATAGAGAAGTTTTGGATGATGTAGAAATCTTTACATATCTAGCAACATCATTAGTAGACAAGGTAGATCTGATGCCGAAATGAAGACACGGATTAGCAAAGCAAGGGCAGGATTCATACAGTTGAAGGACATTTACAACTCGAAACAACTATGCGTCGATCAACACAAAAATCAGGGTTTTCAATACAAATGTCAATACAGTTCTACTGTATGGAGCGTAAACCTGGAGAACTGTGAAAGCCATCATCCAAAAGATACAGGTGTTTATAAACAGTTGTCTACGCACGATAATTCGGATCCGTTGGCTAGACACTATCAGCAGCAACCTACTGTGGGAGAGAATAAACCCGATTTCAGTGGAGGATGAAATCAAGAAGAAGCGCTGGAGGTGGGTAGGACACACATTGAGGAAAGCACCCAGTTGAGTCGCAAGAAAAGCCTTCCCTTGTAGTCCTCAAGGTTAAAGGAAAAGAGGAAGACGAAAGAACACATTTCGCAGAGAATCGAAACTAGATTGAAGCAGAAAGCAAGGCACAGAACAGAGTAGGCTGAAGAATGCTGGTGGGTGGCCTATGTTCAATTAGGGTAACAGGAGTAAATAAGTAAATAAGTAAGTAAGTAGGTAAGTAAGTTAGTTAATTAGTGAGTAGACTATTAAATGAATTATCAATTTTACTACATTTTTTATCTATAGATTTTTCTTCTAAACAAATCAAATACACACATTGTCTAATGGAAAGTTTAAATAATTCAAAGATTTTTTTTTCAGTATACCACAAATTCAATTATTTTCCATATAAGTTTTATCAATTATTTGTATAACAGTATTTATACTATAAAATAAGTAGATAGACATCAAATGTTCATAATGTTTCGTTTGTTAAACTTAAATAAAACAGAATATGAGAAGGGAAAAAATGAATTAAAAGCGAAAAAACAGACTATTCGGATTAAATGAGTCGATTTTTTTTATTGAAGTAATTTGGTATTTAAAAGAACAAAAAACAAAAAAAACAAACTTTTTCATGAACATGAAATAAATTCAATTTTTCTGTTTAGAAATATAGTTTTTTGTTTTCAAAAATTAAATATAATAAATTTTCATATCATTAAATATTATGCTACTGGAAAAAAAACACAATGTACTTCAATGTTTGGAATCTTTTCTTCTTCTTTATTTATCATGATGTGCTCTACATATTTTATTGATTATTAATAATTTGAAAAAAATAATAATAATAAATTTATTCATGACGATTAAAATAAATCATTTCAATTTTTGATGAGTTTATTTTTTGTTGTTGCCTAATTGATTATCAGTTTATAATTCTTGAAGACCAACATTGATACAATAGATCTTTTCCCAATTTAATTCCTAAAAAATATAATAATAATGATAATAATAATAATAAATGAAGAAAATTAGATGAACTATGTTTTTTTAAGAAAAAATGAAATGATTCTAGTTGTTTAAAACATTAGGATTTATGGATGAGGTCACGCAAAATCCCTAGATTGATCAGAGTTAGACATTAACATCGTTGAATGCCGGCCCAATGGTTCAGGGGCTAGGTGCTCCCGCGCGCAACGCCGAAGATCCTGGGTTCGAATCCTGCCAGCGGCGGAAGTAGTGGATGCTCACTGTTGAAGAGTCCCATACTAGGACGAAACGGCCATCTAGTGTTTCCAGGTTTTTAATGGTGGTCTAACAATCACTGATTGATGATTTTAATGTGTAAATACAATATGATTTAAAACAATTCCTAAACATAAAGGTCAGATTATGTCAGGTGTTAAATATGAATCGATTGAAACTTTTTAACCTTTATACCAATTTGATCATGGATATAGAAGATGCGTTCATCAAAGGTATCGGTAGACAACTGTTGAGTTTATTAATCTTTGTAAACTTGATCAATAGAAGTTGATCATCATAAATGGACTAATTTTATAGTTAGCTGGATAATCAGCATAATTTTGTTTACTGTAGAAGGTTAATAACTGCTAAAATCTTTGTGATGCCAATAGAACTAGATTAGAGTGACTGGATCAACATAGTAGGTCTATTCAAAGATCCATTCATTGCCTACTTTTGTATTTCAATGAATATTGAAATTTGAAATCATCAATCAATCATTGTTAGACCACTGTTGGAAACCTGGAAGCACTGGACGGCCGTTTCGTCCTGGTATGGGACTCATCAGTGGCAGTAAGCATCCACGACTCCTGCTCCTCGCAGGATTCGAACCCGGGACCTTCGGTATTATGCGCGAACGCCTAACCATCGGACCAATATATCGAAATTCCAAAATTAGAAAAAAACATTTTGATCAACTCAACAATAATTACTGATTATCAGTGATTTAATCAATGTCTTCCATATTATTACTTTTATGAATCATCATTATACATTCCACAAATTTTATTTTTCTTGCTGTTGGTATGAAAATGATTAAGATAGCAGTCCGTTAAAAAATTGGAAAATACATTGTAATTTATTATTGCAACTTCTATATTTTATTGAATTGAAATTAAAATGAACTTAAAATCATAAAATTTATTATCCATTTAATAATTAGACCTCAGTAATGTAGAGCAGGATTCTTTTCATAATGAGAAAACTATAATACACAAAAAAAGGCAGTATAAACTATTATTAACAGTAATGACAAATAGCTCACCTCAATGGAATCAATTAATTTCATCATATAAACATTAGAATGGAATGATTCATTTAATTGAAAAGATGGTTGATGAGTATTCATTATTAAAGTTTTATCACATTGTCGTCTTGTATTACGAATCAATTCACTAATCCATGTAGTGTTTGTATGTAAAAATTCATGCATAAATAATAGATCAGATAAAGCTAGATTAAGAAGAAGAAGAAAATGAAGGGAATAATAAGAATAATATTAATATTTATTGATTTTTTCAAAAAAAAAAGAAAAAGAAATCACAAACTAACCTTTATGTTGTACAAATCGTAGATTTTGTATATTTTTAAAAATTCTACCAGAATTTCCTGGTATGAATGATTCAGTATCACTAAAAAAAATAATATGAAATGAAAAAAAATAAATCAATCTATAAAATATAATTTTAAATATAATGAACACTAGAATAGTTAACATTTTGACTGCGATCAGTGAATAAACTTGAACAATGATCATTTTAACTAGATTAAGTTATTTTTTCTTTTGCGAGTAAATTTTTATCGTTTGATTAATATTTCAGGCGAATGACTTTTCACTGATTTTTTTAATACAGATTTTGTTATAATATTGTTAGTGATCAAAGTTATGTTTATTTAATCATTAAGTGCTCTGTCACAGTGTAATATCTTTAAGTGTTTCATCTAGTGATTATCAGTTTAAATGACTAGGCATAGAGCGTATTATGCAGAGATGTCAGATCGTTGGAAGAAATCATCAGGAAACTATACTGAAAATCAGTTGAGTTCAGAATATCTTATTGGCAATGATTAGGGCTATGATGCTGTGAAAGTTTGATTTGAATTAGTTCTTTCAAGATTACGGGTACACCTCATTGACAAGCATCAGCTAGCAAGAGAACTAAGTTCCGGGTTTTCTACCGACTGCTTAAGATTACCTAATATCTCAAGTGGTTTAATGTTGTTTGACAGTTTGATATATTATTCACTGTAATCAAGTTGAGTAGTTTAATATTATTGTGTAGTTTGATATAAATAAAGATCAGTTAATAGTTTATTGGACATCAGTCTTTCAGTAGTTGTTAGTACATGTTACCATTCGTTATCTTTAGAAAAATAAAAAATGTACCTAGATCAAACAAATCGATATCGAGAAGCAACAACATGTGTATACTTACAAAGAATATTATAACAAAAGTGGGAAAATTAGACTAAAAACTAAGGGTTTGCTATGTTGATTTAAATTTTGATAGATTTTACTTCGTAAGATGAAATAGGTTTTAATTCATTTTATCCACAACTTTTTACCAACTAATTTTTGTAATTACAATTATACTACTTATTTTGATTTCAGCGACTTAACATTGGTAAAGAAGACTAAGCAGAAAAAAGTTTTTAAGGCTTCAATTAGTATAATATAGAACTATTTTAAAATTGGATAATTTACCTCGTAGCTTGACTAGATTGAATGGTGTGTGTGTGTGTATGAACAGCAAAACTCACTAAACTTATGATTATTACAAATAGTTTAACGAGATAATATTTAATTATTGATAAAAACCCCTTTAGATTCTGACAAATTTCTGAACTATGTGTAGTTAGTCAGTAGATTTAAATGTAAAACACAAAACCAGTAAATTTTACAAGTTGGTGAATTGCATCTTCTATTTTTTTTATTTGTCTGAATAATTTTATATTGATTTCGGCATATTTTTTACCTAAAACGGCTTGGATTTCTGTACTCAAAACAAACTGATGAGAATTTTCAGTTATGCAGATTATTTTTTCTTAAAAATTCATTTCATTAAAATCAAAATAAGAAAAATTTTTGTTCAAACACAAATTAACATAACAATTCATAGAAATTTATCAAGGATTCATTTAATCAAAACTAAACTAACTTTCCATCATTATTCCTTTCAGTTAAAAATGACTTCACACGTTTTTTACAGGCGTAAATTTCTACAATACATATATATACATAGATACACAAATAAAAATAGAGAAATTTTCAAAAATAATAAACGAAATACTAAAAATTAAAATAAATGATTTAACAATTTATTTCCTATGCTGCATGTACTACTAATTGATCAAGCTTTTACAACGTTTGCTCAAAGTTCATTTATTTCTACACATTTGAAATCATCAATCAGTCATTGTTAGACCAGCATTAGAAACCTGGAAGCAGTGGACGGCCTTTTCGTCCTGGTATGGGACTCATCAACAATGACTGATTGATGATTTCAAATGTGCAAAAAACACAAACCTCCTAAACTCTGCCCCAAAGTTCATTTATTTCGTTTTATTGATCATAAATTATAAAGTACTGGTAGTTTGTTTACATTCAAAATCACAAATTTAATTATCGAAATTTAAATTAAATCTTGATACAGTTACAATTAATCGATTCCGAAAACTATTGTGCGTTGAAATCATGTTAGGGATGTTAGGAAAAGCCTTAGCTGCGATTGGTTACTGTGTTATTTTAGTGTGCTATTTTTGTGACTCACCCAAGGACGTCTCTATGATGTATAAATAAACACGATTTGTGTGCTTGAAATCATTGTGTTTGCTGGGTATTTGAAGAATACACTTTCTACGCTATATCAAGACTTTACGTTATTTCCTTTGAGTCAACGGATCAGAGTAGCCGACCCGGACTCTGGTTCATTGTCTCGTTCTCGTTTATCGACTAAGGTGAATCCGTAATAGTTTCAAACATACCAAATGACGAGCATAACAAATTATGAACCTTAACAAATCATTTTGTATTTCTAAGTGAATGACTATTTAGGTAGGTATTCAAATTCTTCAGAAACTAATCTTCAATTTTTTTGGAATGACATGTCTATAATTCGCATTCACGAAGCTAGTCACTGATGATGAGTCCCATACCAGGACGAAACGGCCGTCCAATGCTTCCAGGTTTCTAATGGTGGTCTAACAATGATTGATTGATGACAACTTTGTTTGTTTATAAATCCATGATTTTGACCAAGTGATTAGTTACATAACTAAACACACACTGACTAACCTTCATTTTCGTCATTTACATTCAATAACGATTTCAAATATTCTAATAATATTAAATATTGTAATTTTTCAATGGCCGATTGTTGTTGATTTTCGTATTCATTATTCAACAATTTTGTTTTAATCTCTTCATGTATTCGAAAATTTAAGAATAATATTACTAAGTGTGTGGCAAAATGTTGTCCATACAATGAATTGTTGTTATTTTCAGTATTTATTTGTTTTGAATCATCTACCGATTGATTTTCTATTGTTGCATTGAAAATATCATTAATTTTAGTTAATGCTAACTGTAAACCTGCTGAACAATGAATTACTGGTAAACGTATAATATCATAAGCTAATTCTAACCAAGCCTCTTGACTACATCCAAATTTTTGATAATAATTTGCATAATTGCCAAATTCTTCTTCTAAATTAAATTTTGAAGTGATTTTCAATGAATGTTTTATTGATGATCTGTTTGTCAACATATCATTATTATTATTATTATCACAATTGATGTCAGTAGTAGGTGATGTACATTTTTGAAATTGTTTTATATTTGCAAAATTAAATGGTTCCGGTAATAGACATCCACATGGCATATGACCAGATGGAAATAAATGATCCCAATAAACTCTTCGTTTCGGTGTATAATTATTCAATATATTTGTTGGATTTTCATTTAATTTATCGATTAAATTATAATCTTGAAAAGATTCATCTTCTTCTAATCTTTGATTTTTTAATTCTTTAAAACGAATCCATATACTAGAAGAGACAAAAAAGTAAACATATCATAGCTATTGTTAATTAGAACAAATGTAGTTGACATTTTCAGTTATATATAACTGAGCATTAAGGTAGTGGTCGGAGATACTCAACAGGGTTTCCTTTAAACGCAACTTTACATGTCAGTAGAGTGTACGCGATGTCAAGTCACTTAGATTACTAGCTACATGACCCATAGGGTTCGATAAGCAACGAAAAGGACATGATATATATGATATCGATCACTACTGAAGTGTTAGTGATTTTTTACACTAGTAGTTTTAAATAAATCTTAAAGCTATAAGGAATATTGTAACTGATATGTGATTATTAAAGATGATTAAAGATGATCCCTAGATCAATCAGAGTTAGACATTAACACCGTTGGGTGCCGGCCCAGTGGTCCGATGGTAAGGCGTTCGCCTACAATGCCGAAGGTCCCGGGTTCGAATCCTGCGAGGAGCAGGAGTCGTGGATGCGCACTGCTGAGGAGTCCCATACTAGGACGAAACGGCCGTCCAGTGCTTCCAGGTTTCTAATGGTGGTCTAACAATGATGATTGATTAATGATTTCAAATGATTAAATCTGTTTAGTTCTAACAGGTGACATTCTCTGAAGACATTAACTTACAGAGCAGATAATACTTCACTATCTGACGATCACTATTCAAACAACTTTATCCTCTACATTTACAAACTTTTCATCAAGCTAAACGAATCAATAATACAACGTGACTTGATTAAGGATAGCAAATACAAATTATTGAAGTTTGTTAAAATAGAACATTTGCTTTTTGCTTTAATAAATGAGAAATGTATATATATATATATATATATATATATATATATTTCAGTTAACATGTCATATTGTGGTGCGTGCTACTTATAAGCAGTATATGACGCGAGTGAAAACGTAATGCCTGGCAGCAGAAGATGGGGGAAGATCAAGAAAGGAATAGCGGGAACACAATGGAATTTGTATGAAAAGCATGAATAGTGAAATGTCAGACAATGGATTGATGGTTTGCAGATTAACGGTTTACGATATGGTTTTTCTATTTTACCAATTAACTCTGTAATTTACGATAGTAAATTATAAACTAAATTACTACTGATTCATTGTACATTCAATTAAAAATTTCATCATGTGTTGATTTACGAGAGAGATTTGCTAGTGAAATAATAGTAGTTAATTTACCGATCATGAAATAAAAAAAAAGTGGTGTTAATCGGAAGACAAAAAAAATGTATCAAACTGGATTATGTAAAAGAATCAATTTACTTTTCAAGTGATTCACGCATTAATTGTATGAATGTATCAAACCATAAAGGCCATTCTTCATGATTTAATAATGTTCGATTAAATAATTGACAATTTTCTAATCTAAGTTAAAATAAAAAAAGCAGAATCAAAACAGTATTCTAAATAATTTTCACAAAAAATGGAAAAATAAATTTAAAATACCAAAAATATTAAAATTTTACTTACTTACGCCTGTTACCCCCCAGTAGATTCGGTTAGTGCATGCTGTATTTTTTACTTAAAGATATTGCTTTTTCCTTTGTATATGTATTGAGGCCTACTAGTGCAGTAATGAGGGATATAAGTATATTTTTACAATCAAAGTGCAGAGATTATTCATCAAAATGAATAGAAATCTTAGTACATGATCAATAAAATACATTTGATTAGTGGTTTTTTTTGTAGAAATAGGAACTCTAACTGATAGCAAGCATAATCATTAGTTAGTCATAAAAAAAGATAAACTAAAGAGCCAGTGAAAATTAACAACCATCCAAAGGTTTTTTTTAACTTACAATATTAAATGATACCAATATTCTCAGCTGTATGTGAAATATGGCAAAAACTCTCTAGGTCTTAAACTGAGCAGCTATGCAACCATATTGTAAAATAACTCCGTCTGTAGAACCTTCGGGGCTACTTCCGGTCCTAAGTCAGGATAGAGGAGGAGGGTTGGGCATGGGGTTGGCGACCCCATTCCACCAAAAAATTAACTTGCCAAAAAAACGCTAACCAGAAACAATCAGTCAAACCATTTTAACTCTATCCTGGGAGTTGGAAGAATAATAAGTTTGTCTACGCAAAATATTTCCGATTCGTTGGCCAGACATCATTAGCAACAACGTACTGTGGGAGAGAACAAACCAGATTCTAGTGGAGGAGGAAATCAGGAAGAAGCGGTGGAAGTGGATAGGACACATACTACGAAAAGCACCTAACTGCGTCACGAGACAAGCCCTCACATGGAATCCTCAAGGTCAAAGGAAAAGAGAAAGGCCAAGGAACACATTACGCCGAGAAATAGAGAAAGACATGAGAGGAATGAACAAAAACTGTAGAGAACTAGAAAGGGAATCCAAGGACAGAGTGGGTTGGAGAAAACTGGTGGGCGGCCTATGCTCCATCGGGTGTAACAGGCGTAAGTAAGTAAGTAATATTGTAAAATCTCTAATGCTCTCACTTTAACCTTCGTATTATTATTCTAAAACTGAATAGATATTGACCATTTATCGGTTTTGTTATTGTATATCAGAAAAAAGAACCTGAGATTCATACACTAAGAAATAAAAGAAGTAATTGAACACACTATGTATGTAAATTTATTCAATTAACCAAAATTATTTAAAATGTTAACGATAGCTTCTTTTCACAATGGCCAAACTCATTAATATTTGACATAAACAACCGTATTATTCAAACAACATTTTTCGATATATAATCAAAGTTAACTTGTTTGAAAAAATTTATGAACAAATTCATGAAAAATACCAACATTCGTGGTTTCAATGTTCAACCACAAAACTCTCACTTTTAACATTATTTTTTGTTTTAAACAAATAAATCAAAGGAAATTCGTTGTTATTCAATGATAATATCTTACCCTGGGATAATAACCAAATCGACAACTTTGCCTAGAAAATCTGCATATTCTGGTATTGCATCCAATATACGTAGTATAGAGATGAATAATTGATTTGCTACAAGTTTCTTTTTGTCTGTCAAACTATCAGTTGATTGATTAGCATACAATGATTCTAGTATTAAAAGACTTAGTTTATAATTCGAAGAAGTTAATAGCTATTAAATGAATATTAATACAAATAGAAACATAAAAAAAAACGAAATTTTCTATTTAATCAAAAAAATATGCATTACTTATAAAAAGTAATCAGTAAATAATTTATTATCACTTTCAAATTGATAAACGTAATACTATATTTTGTGCTGTTCTGTGAAATAAGTTTTTGGTGGAAAAAAAGTTGTTGTTATTAATAAATCAAACTAAGCGTTCAGTTGAAAATTTATAACTGTAACGCATTCGAAACCGAACTCTATCAACTCCTAGTTTCGTTTATTAGTTCGTCTTAATCTCACACTGACTTTATATCTGGTTGCTGTCTATTTATTCGTATATTGTATGTAAGTGCATCATTCTATGTGCTTGCTGAGTCGTCGGCTCATCTTTTTCTCTTGTTCTTTCTTCTTCCAGATAATCTCATACGCCGCTCCTCACATCCCCCTCTGGCACACAAGGTACCTTCAGGTTAAACGCGAACCAACCAAAGGCTGAAGTTACATAATTGTGAGAAGCATTCTTAACTCGGAAAGAAGTTGGTTTATGTTTTAAAAAAATGTTATTAAATCATCTTCCATTCAGTAGATAAAAGATCGACATATTTGGCACTTACCCTTAAAGTTACGGGTTGTTACATGCAACAACAAGAGAGAAGCTGTATGTGCCTATTGTATTATAGTTTAATGATAGTCACAAGTACACCTGTCAATCCAATCCAATGATTTTAACCCAAACAGAATCAGATCATAATGACTATACTACTGAAACGTCTATAGGAAACGATAAATCTGATCTAAAACAAACCGGTTACTAAATAAAGCCCACAGGGCTTGACCAGCCCTTGGAAAATCTAATCAATCCATTCTTCTTGAGTTATTCATACGTCTTCCGACTCTGACAACCATTCACTTTTATGTTGGTTGTTTCTATTCGAGTATGTGTGAGCACTGCCTACTTAGCTCACAGAATGTCTGTCTAACTTTTGTGTGACTATTAATACTTAGTCATGCTTCGTTTCACTGAGTTGGCTTGCTATATGCTTGTATATCTTTCATTCTCGTCTGTCTGCTTAAATCAATGCATGAAGGATTGTTTGAAATAAACTCATCCAAGCGAATCCGTATTTGACTTCTGGTTACCACCAGCCCACAAACGGAGTTCGCCTGGATATGATGTAGGGAAACTGATGGGGAGATTTATTTCATAGCATACTCAAACGTTCGCAAATATAAGAGTCAGGATCTCGAGCTATTAAAGTAGTGAGCCCTACATAGAATCCAACACACCTACAAAACTGTTAATGTAAACAGGAAAAAACCAAGTAGTATATTTTTTTCAGTCACAAATAACGAACGGTTGTTGACATTTGCAAATCGTCCAAAGTCAACAATGATTTTCTAAAATGTGGTAGTTTCGATTCAGGTTATTTGAAATTTTCCGCAAACTTTTGTCTGTAAGGCCAAAAGATTTTTAGATTTTTCTGAAAAATTCTGAGTGTTAAGTTCATTTTCGATTATCATAAAAAAATATTGAGGGAAAAATGCCGTAAGTTTCGGTTTAGAGAGATTATCCGTTTGTTCTTATTGAACATGACATCTATACTGTCAATAATGCAAATAGTTAAGTCAGTTTTTAAAATAATGTAGTACTATGGGAATCAAAAACATAAATTTCAGCCACTAATATGTAACACGTGTATTTATACAAAGTGTCTCTTACAGACACAAAAACTATACGAAAATATGCTTGTTTTCAAAGTCTAGTAAGTGTCTTACTTTTGTGAATATATTAAGATTAGTCACTGAACTCATTGACCGATAAGTGTAACGGCCACCATAGAAGATCTGCAAGCACTAGACAGTCGTTTCATCCTAATGTAGCACTACTAAGCAGTGTGTATTCATAACTCCGCGTGCAGGAATCGAACCCGAAACCTTCGTTCTGACATGTAGACGCTTAAATTCTAAACCACTAAACCAGAATCTAACGGCACAAATGTCTAGCTTAATTCAACCCACAATATCGCGCAACGATCACTCATTGTCGTCGGTGGGTAACCTTTACACACTCGACACTGCCGAACTCCACTGGTAACGACTTCTTAATAGAACTCCAAGAATTGTTTCTCGGAGCCAGCTGCGCCGAATCGTGGGTTAATGTAAGCTAGAGATTGAGCATTCTCGCGTGAAACCAAATGTCTTGGGTTCGATTCCCGTATGCGGAGTCATGAATGCACAGTAGTGCCATACTAGGACGAAACGGCGGCCCAGTGCTTCGACGTCTTCGATGGTGGCCTAACATTGGTCGGTTCATGAGTTCAATGAAACTCAACGAGCTATATGATGTCAGTTATTTTCATGTTGTAAATGGTTTTAGTCACAAACTTACACTAATTATTCTGACAGGATTAAAATGACCTGATACGGAAAATAGTTCCATTTCTATTTCTAGTTCCGTTTGTTGAGGATGTTCTTTCCTAAGAAAAAGGAAGTACAGTGAAAATTTGTATAAAATCAGCAGAATGTTCGTTTATGAACTAGAGATTTTTAAACTTAAAAGTTATTCATGAATTTGTAAATTAAATTTTGTGAATTTAATTTCACAAGCATAGAGTTTATTCTAATTAGTTGTGAATCAGAGTTGAATGTTTACAGGATGACAGATTAGTTGAATTAAAATTCCGTTTCGAGATGATTTTATTCAAGTTGGTGGAAAACTAAAAATTTGTTGGCAGATAGAAAGAGAATGACTGATCGAGGTATTCGGAAATAAATCTTAGATTTGTATTGCACACTAATTGTCGTATATTGGCAAGGAGTGCCTCCAATCTTGAACGAACTGATGCTCCGTGAATGATTTAAAATGATTTCACTTAGCTCCAAAGTGTGTGGTGCTAACATTATTTTGTTACCGGTTTCTTGTAGGACTGAGATACTTACAATTGAACGAAACTATAAAATGAAATATCACTGACATTTTAAAGTAAAACTCTCGTAGTGAACACTGAGTTCTGTTACAGAACTTCCGAAAGATTGAGTCAAGAAGTTTGTAAAGAAGCGTTTTGTGTCATTAAGCTTAGTATAACCTTCTTTAGTATGCCTACCATTTACGAGCATGTAAAAGATGAAATTCCGCGATAGGACAAAATGATGTTAATTTATAGGTTTACTTGCCTTTGTCGATCAGGTTACAAAGGCTTTACAAAACAAATACTTTATAAATACGTCTCAAAACATTACCCATACTGGCTTTTAGAAGGATAATGTAAAACAATCAGTATTTCGATATAGTAACATCTCATCAACTTTGAACGTTTCGGCCCACTAAAATCATTCTTCGAAATTATTTACACGGTTCAACTAATGGGATTAAAGCTAGGTCAAATCAAATCCATTGAACCTTTGAGGCTTTGGTAAATCGTCAATTCAACTTAGAAAACGCTTTATATCCTTCCCTCGTCCTAACACCCTTCTCAAGATTTTATTTTATTTGCTTTTATAGTTATTTTGAGCTTTTAAAAACCGTTCTTAGTTATTGTTATACTGGAACAGTTTCTCGTGAATACTAACTCATTAGTGTTTCTTGAGAATCGCAAAAACTGTGAGGTTTTCGTGACTTAGATCTCGAACCAATCCGTAACTGAAAACCTGTAAGTACTGAACATTGGTTTTTTCCTGGTACGGGCTTCTGTATTATGAGAACCGCCGATCCCAGACCGGAGAATCAAAACCAAGACCTTCAGTCCTGCTTACAGACTCCCAACATCTAGACCACTTGGCTGACATCCGACAGTGTCTATCTTCAAGAACTATAATTTTTTTGTTTGGCAATGCTCTACGAAGGGTAACAAGCGTAAGTAGAAATGAAATGTTTTTTTGTTAGGCGTTTGGAAATGTTTTAGTTACACATTTTTGAAACCATGAATCGATCAGTGTTAGACCACCATTAGAAACCTGGAAGCACTAGACGGCCGTTTCGTCCTGGTATGTGACTCCTCAGCAGTGCGCATCCATGACTCCTGCACCTTGCAGGATTCGAACCCAGGACCTTCGGTATTGTGCGCGAACGCTTAACCATTGGACCTCTGGGCCGGCATCTGACGGTGTTGATATCTAACTTGATCAATTTACGGAATTGCGCAACCTCATACACAGTCTTCGGTAGTTACTGTCTACACCCGAACAGATTGAACTTCACTGGTCACGTCTTTCCACTAGAACTCGGAGAAGATTCCTCACGAAGCTAGTCACTAGTGAGCACAGGTAATTTGCATTACGGGGTTGTCAAGATTGTTAAGTTACACATTTTTGAAACCATGAATCGATCAATGTTAGACCACCATTAGAAACCTAGAAGCACTGGACGGCCGTTTCGTCCTGGTATGGGACTCCTCAACAGTGCGCATCCACGAGTCCCATACCAGGACGAAACGGCCGTCCAGTGCTTCTAGGTTTCTAATGGTGGTCTAACATTGATCGATTCATGGTTTCAAAAATGTGTAACTTATCAATCTTCACAACCCCGTAATGCAAATGTTTTAGTTGTTGAGCCGTTAGATATCATGTTTTACTACTTTTAGGCAAATCTTGCATATGATTTGACAGCAACAAGAATTAGTGAATTTTTCTGGCCATATGAAATATTACTGAAGGTTTATTTTTCGAGATGAGTTAAAAAACACAGTAGAAAACTCAGTTATATGTCAGATAAAAATTTTCAGACGATAGCTTAGCTATAAAAAAATCTCACTGGCGTTTAGAAATTTTGACCAGTTAGAAAAGTATTTTAGTGGTAGACCTTTTAGTCCTTAAACCAGTGTTATAGGCAGTTTTTGAGAGTGGTATATTTAGCATCTGGGATAGTTGACTAATTTTGACTGGAACTAAAATGAATGTAGATAGGTTATTTAAATACAGTTCTACTCGCTCATGCTAAGACAAAGAAGTAATGATTTTACACCCGGAAACATTGAAGTCGATCAGCTGTTAACATCTCAAAATACATTAAAGAATCCATTTAAACTTCTATTACCAATGAGTATATTATTGAAAAGTGTTTCAATTAAACGAGATAATAATGAATAAGAAATAATCTTTGATTCAGTTTCTGAACTATTTATCTCTTATTATTGAGCCTAAGTTCAGGTTTGGAGATAACTATTATCAGCATTCTTGAGATAAACCGCTGGATTCAATGACAACTCTACTGGATTAAGTAGGAATGTTCGTAGTCACGAATTAGATATTCTAGAGAGGATTTATTTAATAAAGTGACCCCACTGAATTTATGAATTCTAGGTGTGTACATACATTTAAAAAAAATCAGTCAGCAGGTATTACGTAACAACTACATAATTCCTAAGAAACATTCAATTTAGGAATACGTTTTCATTATAAGTCTTAATGGCTAGTCTAATAAACCAGTAATAAAATAACTTAAGGAATTTTTTTTGTCAAAAAGATAATCACATTTGAAACTTACACATTATCTTGTCTATTAAATTTGACTGATTTAACTGAGAATACATCTTCTTTTTCAAATATTGATGCCAATAAACTACAAAATGCTCGCAGACTTAAACAATCTGAAATGCATAAAGCTAATTTTTCAATTCCATTTAAATTCCAATCAACTGACAATGTAATTGTACTTAATTGTGCAGTTAGTCCGACAAATTCCATTGTATCATTTTCATTTTTATTAATTTCTGCGGTAGAATTGTCGTCAATAACATCAATATTGGATGATTTATTCAATCCATATCCATTTAAAATAGTAAGTAAAACATTGACCACTTCAGAAATTAATAATTTCAGACTATCTTCATCTAAATTATCATCAGATAACTGAAAATTGTTGTTTGAATTTTCTTGGTTGCTTAACTGAGTTTTCGGCTGTTGATCATTGATGTCAACTTGTAATAAATTCAATATCATAGGTAAAAGAACTTCAAGGTTGAATGCGATAAAAGTTTGTAAAGACTGTTTATAAATTGAAACAAAGAGAAAAAAAGGAATAACTTAGTTGAATATTCTACAATAACAATGAAAACTTATGGGGAAACTAAAATAATTAGGTATTTTGATGATACGATTTTGCCTCAGATGAAGCGTTTTGGGCTAACAGTTGTTTTTCTGTCAAGTTGATTATCATCATCACTACGGTATCTGGTTTAGAACTGAGATGTTGAGAACTCGAAGTTTCAAGCAAGAGAACGGTCAAATTTGGTTAAAACCATACAATGAATAAATGGCACGCAACAACGTACTGTGGGAGAGAACAAACCAGATTCCAGTGGAGGAGGAAATCAGGAAGAAGCGGTGGAAGTGGATAGGACACACACTACGAAAAGCACTCAACTGCATCATAAGAAAAGCTCTCACTTGGAACCCTCAGGGTAAAAGGAAAAGAGGAAGGCCAGTGAACACAGTACGCCAAGAAATAGAGAAAGACATGAGAAGAATGAACAAAAACTGTAAAGAACTAGAAAGGGAAGCCCAGGACAGAGTTGGTTGGAGAATACTGGTGGGCGGCCTATGCTCCGTTGGGGGTAACAGACGTAAGTAAGTAAGTAAGTATAACTTATATCGAAAAATTGTTTATAGGTTACATTGAAGCTTTAGTGCTTAGATGAACACCTTCAATTATAGGAGAATATTATCCTTGACGAAAGTTATTTATAATATCTACTAATTTAAAAACATTGAAATCATATTGTACAAACGCAAAACTTAGGTGACCATTTTAATTTGAACATATTACATACCTTACTAATATAAATTTTAGGTATAGGTAAACCTGCTCCCGTTCCAGTAGCACCGTTCCATGAACATAACATATTTTGTGTTGTAAAACCAGGATTAAATTGTTCATCGAGTATATTTTGGTTTTTATGACACCAAAAATCACTAAAACATAAATCCGATGGATTAAATAACTGTCCATGTACTGATGTAGCGAATACTGATCTTTGTAAAAGCATATTTAAACAGTTATAATATTCAATATTCAAATTATTTTCACATTGATTTAAATATGTTCTACTACTATTTAAAATATCAATTGCAGTTGGATTACATCCAAATTGTAATTGACTTGCATAATCTTGCAAAGTTTGTAATAATGAATGAATTAGATATTTCATTAAAGATTTATTCATTGTATAAACTGGTTCCCATAAAATTGTTTCTGTTTCTTGAGGCATATTCACTTTTTCTAGAAGAGGCAAGAAAAAAATAATAAGGTAAAGTTTCAAATCAGATTGGTGAAAAATCTTCTTATAAGTAAAAATTCAGTCCAAATCGGAACTACAAAGTTGAACTTTAATAAACAATATTCGGGTTCATTTTAATGAATTTCATTTGATTGCCTCGGTAGTTAGAGATTTGGGTATATCAGTCATTATATAAAGTTTCTACTTCGTTACATACAAAGATGTTTATTGTACACTTGTAACCATGGCAAATAACTAGTAGTGTGATGCGAGATACTTATAAGTAGTATATGATGTGAGTGTCAACGTAATGTCTGGCAGCAGAAGATGAGGGAAGATTAAGAAAGGGTGTGAACACAATTGAATTTGTATGAAACGCATGAATAGTGACAATGGATTGGTGTTTTGCAACAGGAATAGTCCAGTTCGATATGATGAACTGATATTTTGCAAATAAACGATTTACGATATGGTTTTCCTATTTTACTGAGTAACTCTGTAATTTTCATTAAATACAATTCGGTTGCCCCACCTGTGTTCTCCTTCACTACAGTAGTTGTGTAGAGTTTTTTTTACAGATAGTTTGACGTTTACTTATTTGAATGCTAGATTTTACTTGTCAGTTGTTTTTCCTTCTTGCATTTGTTTAATTGTGTACTTTGTATCATAAGGTAGATTTGATGATATCTATTTCCTGTTTACTTAATAGCTTAATTGTCCAACCGCATTGTTAGTGCTTTTTTAATTTAAACAATTTTTAGGAGTGATCTTTTGTTATTAACAGATAATAACTACATAAAGGACTGGCGAATTGTTTTGTTTTATTTTTTGAATCATTTACAGTGTTCACTTTCGAAGCCAACAGTTTTTGAAGACAGATCTTCAAGTCTAACGACAAACTTGATACGTCTAGATTAGTGAGGTGGAATATGATTCAGTCAATTTGTGTTGTGTGAAGTTTATCCAGAACTGTTTAGTTGTTATTGGTTTACTAGCTAATATCAATCCATGATGAAAGTCAGATTCAAAGGATATTTCCATGTGGAGATCGTTGAATCCCACTGAAAAAAGAAACCGATCTAAGTTAAACCGCCTTTGTAAACCTGGATTCGTTGAAGCTAAGCATAAACACTGTCAGATGCTGACTCATAGGTGTAGTGGTTAGGCGTTCGTGAGCGAGATCAAAGGTCCTCAGTTCTACTCCCACATGCCTTGTCGAGGTTGCATGCTACTGAGGAGTTCGATACTGGGACGAGATCATCATCCAGTGTTGCCAGGTTTTTATTAGTGTTTTAATTTGGATTTGTCCATGATTTCGGTAAAATCCAAAGGATATTTTATAACATATATTTGATCTACTTATAAGTAGTTTGATTTATATCATGAATTTCAAATGGAAGAAATTCTGGAAATCAAGCTTTGTAGGGTGTAGCAGTCTTATCTCTCTCACTAAGAGCAGACACTTAGGAAAACCTGAAGTTATGCTGTGAATTTATGTTACAAGTTTGAGCAAGTTTATGGCAGAACTTTTCTGAGATTGAAAAGTCATATGAAAATCAAAATTATCACTTTAATCTTACTAATTAGCTAGTATTTATTCGTACGATTAATTAATTTCACCCATGTACAAATTTCATATCCATATGACTGTTTGTATTTTTATCTGTTATACTGCAATGATCGCCTGAACTATATAATCTCACTCAACAATTCATGCAACGATTATTGGTCACATTATTAAACATAGAGCAAAAAAAAGTAAACAATACTTCACCAAATAATTCATTCGAATTCGCTTCTTGTTTGATCTTTTGATTAGCATACTTAAAATATAATATTTCCTATCACGGTATGTTTTAAATCCTTTGTTTTTATGCCAGCAGCAACTCTGGTGGCAAATGTACTAGATTTTACTAATGTTATGAAATTATACGGGATAATTGCGCATATGATTTAATTCAAATGTAAATATAAGTACGAAACAACACTTTGAAAAATATATCGATTATTTAGTAGAGTTTAAGGTCATTTTTTGAGATGAAAAACGATCCTCTTACCTGGGATTACCGACGTATCATTTGACTTTTTTAATGCACCTAGAAAAAGAAGAATAATGTGAACAATATTACTTCGTCTGCCTTGTTAATGACGTGTTCTTTAATGAAATAAACTAACTCATGCATATTAGTTAGAAATACCATACATTTTGAATGAACCTTATTATATCCAACTAAAATATTGCATGATACAATGAAATAACTAGTTTGAAATACAATCTGGTGAAGGAGCGCAACGAAATCATTGCATCCGTAATACAGTTGAGGTGAGCAGAGTTAAAAGACGAAGTTATGCTCAAGACTCTAAGGCAACCAAACAGCTTGGAATGAGCAGTAAACAATTTTGTTTCAAAAACCAGGAAACCTTTGCGTAGATGAATGAAGCGTCGGTAAAGCAGTAAAAGTGAAGATTTCAGGTGACTGATGGATTTCTCTATATTTAATAGATGACTTAGAAGTTCCATACGAATTGATAATTAGTATGGGTTCAAGTTTTCACTGAAACTCCACGTAAGAACTAGTCGCTTCAATTTGGGACTAAACCAAGTGATATTTATAATCTTCTAGAATAGACTAAGTCTCTAGAATTAAATAAATCTTACTTTATCGGATTAGGTAGATTTTATATGTCTGGTCAAGTTATCGGATTGCTGATGAATAGTTTTATAACTCAAGAGTGCGCATGTACATTGCATGAAGCTCAAAAATCTGAAGATATCGAATGAATTAATACCAAATGGATGTTCAGTTTTTCACAAATAACAAAATCTTGTAATGCAGTTGTGTTTTAGATGGCAAAGAGATCCAAATTTGTCTAAATCTCGTCATAGAAGGATATCAAGTCCGTCAATTTGTATAACGAGCATAATTAGATGTTACTTCGTCTTTTCTTAACATGCATCTTGTTTAAAAAGCATTGATCGTTTTTTAGACTAGATTAGCTTATTTTAACACCGAATCTATATGGTAAACATTAATTTCCTTATGGACTTTTATAAAAATAGGTGTTGATTATTTTTTAAGAGCCAATGGAAACTCTGAAATTAAACCATTTTGCTCAGGGAGTAAACCAAAATCAAAACTTTGTAATCTTCTGGAAAAGTTGTTTAGGAAATTAAACAACTGAACTAATCGCAAAGTTTTAAAATTACGTGATTATTTAAACGGTTTTTTGAAAAAGTGATACATTTCTGTTTCCGGTACACAATTTAACCTAATTGTGAACAAATGTGAGTTAATAAGAAGATTTGTGATGGTAGTATTTTAGGTAAGGTTATCTGACTAGACAGATCAAGTTTAGTAATCACCTTGATAATCCATTACTATCTTTTTAGTCAAGTTACTTGTGACTGAGTACAAAACTAGTGATGCAATGAATAAGATATCTGTATCTTTTTGCCGAAAATGCTGAAAACAAAACTCAACAGACTTGTTAAAAAAACATGGTTAGAAGCCGAGTATTGTAGATTTTACTGTGAAGAACTAAAGCAGTATTTATGCAAAACCTCCAAGTTGAAGTGTAGTATAAGCAAGAAGGCTTACAAATTCCGTAATAAACCGACAGCTATATTGTAGAAGGCAACAGAAATGTTTATTACTCTGTTGTGTCGCGTTTATGACTAAATTTTCGTGAAATGAACTTTGCTAATGTGTTCTTTGTGTAGCGCATTTATATAAAATGTTTTGAAAACCGAATCAAGATGTTTGACAATATGCTGACTTACTTTTGGGTTTATGAGATTGAAGAGAGTTGCAAGAATGACGTCTTGTATCCAAAGTGTATTCATGTGATTGGTTGTAAAACAAAAAGGAGTCAAAAAAACTAAGATCAAAAAATCTGCTAGCATCAATTTTTGAACTCGTAAGTTTTTTATCAAACAGTTCACTTGAATTATCACTGAATAATGTCTCACAGAGAATATCCGTCTCGGTAGAATCTAGTTGAGTTATAAGATTTGGCTGAATTTTTTTCAGTTGGTTTGATATATTAGACCATATTTTCAGAATTTCATTCATGGTTTGTAATTCACTTAAAGAAAGCCTTCCAACATTATCAGCACTTAATAGCTTCTGAAAGCGACATAAGAAGTTCAATTCAAAAGGCATAAATAGGAATTTGGAATGATTAAACCAAGAACAAAAATTGGTGATTTAATAAATAGCATTCCTGCTACTTTTGCTCAAAAAATCATTCGAACTCGTGTACAGTATCATCAATCGTCAGTCGAGATATCTAGTTTTCGGAAATTAGCTTATGGCTGTCTATAAGAAGACTAGCAATTAGCGAATTTGAATTTGGACAAAAATTAGTTGTTTAACAATATATAGTCATGTAAACATAGCTAATCAGCCTTAGCAATCCCCTGGAACCCTATTTTCTTTCAAGCTGCTTCTAAATTGTGAGGGAAACACTTAACATGTTATCGTCTTCTAGGATGCAGCAACGATTATAAAGTCCATAGATTCCCAGTAAAAATTGAATACGCAAACCTTGTTCACCGTACGCAGTTTTGTTGATAGAAATAAGTTATTGTATTGTCAGTTTTCAAGTATGAAAAGATAAGCAGTACAAGGACGAAAGTAATAAATAAATCCATTCCATTAGACTGTTGCATAAAAATTGAAGGTCATCTCGATTACTTAACCAATTTCTTGTTATTGACGCTAACTGGAGGTAAGTCAAAAAAACCTGATTAGAAGGGAAATAAACTTATCACACTAGGTGTTTTTGACTATAATCACTGTTCAGTTCTTTAACAAATGACAAAGTGAACGTGGTAAAGACATCAGTAATTACTACCGGACTTTCATTTTTCCATTCAACTTCAACTTGCAAATAAGGATAATTCAGTCTTTTTAAAATTCAGTATTCCCAGTTTAAAAGTGAAAAAGGTTTACGATCATATACGCATAACATTACTAACTTGAATAGATAGTTGTGATAGTAGTACTTTTGAGTGAATGATGTCCGACCACTTCCTGAAGAAAATTACCATAGAATTCACAAAATCGGAGACTGATGATGAGTAAAAATCATCAAGAAGGCAAATGAAAGCATTCGTATAATTTTTCCACTGAGAGTGTATTTCATAAAGAGTGACGTTCGTGTTATCCAAAAAAATATACCGTTTAAGAAAGTCTTCAGTATCTAAAAGACAATTCTAAATAAGAAATTATTATTTTTTTAAAGTATTTGACTAACAGAAACAAGTTTTTCTTCGTTTCTTGCGAACAAAAGGTCGAATATTTGGCTTCTGAACTTTCTAAAACTGTCAAGGTTGCCTGAGTACTGTTGGACTTGCAAAAGGAGTCTGTGTATCTCTGCCAACACTTGATCACAAATGAAGTTCATTTCTCTCCTCTCCATACATTCCGAATTCGTCTGAAAATTGTGGGTATTCATATGTACTAGAAAGTAAATAACTCCACTGTATTTTTCAGTAAAACCGCTATACGAATTCACTCCACTGAACTTCAGATCATCAACCTACGGTATAAAAAACGAAAATGCAATTTACTATGAGAGAAAGAAATTTTTTGTATTCATTAAAGGAAAGCTTCGATGGATGATCAAGGCACGGATCAGACGACTCATGTACAGAGGGGTTGCTTTTGTGAGTTATTCCAGCGCATATTGAGGCCCTTAAAAATCCGTTCGTGAAGGAAAAGTTTTTACTTCAGCTTGCATTCATCTCGTTCTTTACTGATAAAATTTGCAAGTTTGTTCATCCGGTATATAACGGAATACATTTTGTCGCCAATATACAGAGGCGGCTAGTACAATAAAAGGACACACTAAAACAAAGAGCCAACCATGCCTTAGTTAAAGGAATGATGTCCTAAAGATGTTGTAATTGATTCAATCTATACGTTACGTCAAGATAAATAACTAATTTAAAAATTTCTGATGTCCGCGTTCAAAGTACTGATAATGTATTATGGCCTCAACTACTTCTGAAGTAGACCAGTATCATATTGCTGAGTTCATATTCGAAATTTTTACAACTGTAGATTTTCACTTTCCTCAAGTTTGGTAGGGCTGTCTGAGAATACTTCATACTTTTTATCCAGTACTGAATATCTTAGAATGTCTCCTGAGTTTGGTTTGGTTGTTGGATGCTGCCTTTCTTAATCTCAGAATATGTTACGACTGTCATATCACGGTGAAAATTAAGTGTCGCTTGTTAGTGGAGATTATAAAAATGTGAAAAACTGTCGGAAATTAAAGAATTTACCCTCGGTGATACCGTTTTTGACCCGTTATCTGACTTGGATTTGAATGAAAGAATAAATCTGTAAGTTAGGTAATAAGTAAGCCAATTATGGAATTAGTTAGACGAATTTATTCCTGGCCGAAAAACAACAAGAAGAGGATCGGCAAGTCGAAACGGAGAAGACAAATGTGACTGCTCTTTTTGATAAAGGTTTACCCAACATATAGCCAGAGGAATGCGAACTAAGTAATAATATATTTATTGTCAATCAACTGCGTTTAAAATTAGGCATGCCAGTCAGCAGGCTAGATCACATTGTTACAAATGCTACGACTCTTACTTCAAAAGGTTGCGCAGCCAGATTAAAAATAAGAGTCTGTTTCTGGTAGCACATTTACACCAAACCACCGATAGAAACAGTTTTATACAGCCATCTTGTCAACAGGTGAGTAAAACTAGAATAGGTACACAACAGAGTTTTTGGTGGTTTGCATAATTCATGAATAATCTGTTGGATAGTGTCTATTGGAAGGCGCTTGATATAAGCTCTGACCTGGACATGGGCGCACGTAAGGTTCATTTCGCGTAGAGGCAGCGTGATTGTTTCACTGCCGATAAGGCTCTGAGAAGGGATAAAAGAGAGAAAAGAAAAAAAGAACAATGAGGTAATTGTATATATGTGACCTGGGCAGTTTATCCGTTCATGATGGAACAGAAAAGCAGCGGTAAGTGGAAATAAAATTCACGCAGACCACTAAAATAAAAGTATATCGTAGTAATAAAGACCAAAAAAGGTGTGCAGCAATTAAGAACAATGGGTGGTGATGTGTATCAGTGAGCATAGAAGAGAAGTTGAATTTAGGAGCCTTATCTTGGTTCACTGAAGCTGAATGTTCAGGAGGAAGAGTAAACTTTGTGAAAAAATTGATAAGGAGTTAGATAGGGTAAGGGATTCACAAATTCGCTCACATAAGAAAACCGAAGACTATAATCAATTAACCGAAAATTTCAAACTGTAATGCATGAAGAATAAACCAGTTAGTTTGCCAGAAAGCTAGATTGGCTGATGAAGGTGTGATGTAATTGTAAAAATTCTGTCCAACGTAACACTCAACAGAACAGGGTAAATGATACGATGTATGTCTCTAGATAAAGAGTGAATTTCAATCTCATTATTAATTTAGAGCATCATACGAAAGGAGCTAATATTTTAACCAACAGTTCAAGAAAGACTCTCTCACACTACATGGTCAAAAGTTTCTCTGGTACAAAATACCGAACTATGAAACGATAAATGTCTACGAAATTCAACTGTTAACATTCTAGAATCGAAAAACTTTTCGGACAAAGCGGATAAGAAATTTTTTCAGCTAGAATCAGATGGAACTACAAACGTTCCCAGGACAGTGCAAAAAAGAAGCGGTGAGCAACCACTGAACGACATACCATAATTTCAACATTCAAGCAGTGGACAGCAACAAAATGAAATGATAAAAAGAAGTCTTAGACACAGTCAAATGATTTAGGTTCAGCCAAAATCGATAAGCGTAGATATTTAGCATCACAAGCCTTGAGTGAGAAATTATGGAGATCATGGTCCAACTCGATATCCAAGCTGCCTCTCTAGGGTACTTAATACACTACTATGAATTTCTGATGATGTGATTGTCTAATCTAGCAGATCTCGCGTTGAATCCTCATCACTATCTATATTGGCTCATGTAGTCATGGCAGCTAGGAATATCATTTGTAAGAACTTTTGATAATCACAATTATGCTATCGATAAAATAATTTGTTTGATGTAAACATGAAACAAATGTAGGATATTTTGATTTTAGCAGTTATTATTAACTGGTTCAAAAACATCTATCCATATTTGATTCCATTGATCCTTACTGACTAAATATGCGGTTCACTGAAACGCACGTTGTTTAGCGTACTTCAAACCTAGAAAATTCTTACCCGAAAACAAATATGACATAAGAACTTGAGAAAACTATCCCTTTTGTGTTTCAGTTGATGAGTATCTTATCGGACAGTATGTGTTCTTAAATCAGCCTAACACATATGATACAGAGAGTATTATCCAAATATCCGACTACAAATAATGGATGAAAGGCTGGTTTTCTAGTTCCACATATTTTTCTAGCTAAAAGTAAACCACTTAGATAAGGGGTTCTGAAAGTCTTCGAAGTTGATGCTGACCTCAATAGCCTTTCTGGCCATACCTCAGCAAAAGGCGTTCGGTCATGGATCCAAATCAGAACTCCGTGAGGCACACCGTGTTGCACATATCTCACAGCTATACTTACTTACTTACGCCTGTTACCCCCTATGGAGCTTAGGCCGCCCACCAGTTTTCTCCAACCAACTCTGTCCTGCGCTTCCCTCTCCAGTTCTGTCCAATGTTTGTTCATTCCTCTCATATCTTTCTCTATTTCTCGGCGTAGTGTGTTCCTTGGCCTTCCTCTTTTCCTTTTGCCTTGAGGGTTCCATGTGAGGGCTTGTCTCGTGACGCAGTTAGGTGCTTTTCGTAGTGTGTGTCCTATCCACTTCCAACGCTTCTTCCTGATTTCCTCATCCACTGGAATCTGGTTTGTTCTCTCCCACAGTTCGTTGTTACTGATGGTGTCTGGCCAACGAATCCGAAGTATTTTGCGTAGACAGCTGTTAATAAACACTTGTATCTTCTGGATGATGGATTTCGTAGTTCTCCAAGTTTCCTCTGCATACAGTAGAACAGTCTTGACATTTGTATTGAAAATCCTGATTTTGGTTTTCGTTGAAAGTTGTTTGGAGTTCCAGCTGTTTTTCAACTATAGAAACGCAGCCCTTGCTTTGCCAATCCGCGCCCTCATATCTGCATCCGATCCACCTTTCTCGTCGATGATGCTTCCCAGATATGTAAAGGTGTTAATGTCCTCCAGTGCATCTCCATCAAGAGTGATTTGGTTTGTGCATGTTTTGTTGCATCGAAGAATTTCGCTTTTTCCTTTATGTATGTTGAGACCTACTGCTGCAGAGGCTGCTGCTACACTGGTCGTCTTCTCTTGCATTTGTTGTTGAGTGTGCGATAGAAGAGCCAGGTCATCTGCGAAGTCCAGATCGTCCAGCTGCGTCCTAACTGTCCAGTTGACACCGTGCTTCCCTCCAGACGTCGACGTCTTCATAATCCAGTCGATGACCAGGAGAAAGAGAAAGGGTGAGAGTAAGCAACCTTGCCTGACACCGGTCTTCACATCGAAAGAGTTTGTTAGCTGTCCATCGTGTGCGATTTTGCAGTTGAATCCATCATAAGCATTCCGTATGATGTTGACTATTTTCTCAGGCACACCGTAGTGTCGAAGAAGCCCCCACAGTGTTTTCCTATCCACGCTATCAAATGCTTTCTCGTAGTCAATGAAGTTGATGTAGAGTGGTGAGTTCCATTCAATTGATTGTTCCACAATGATCCGTAATGTAGCAATTTGGTCAGTACATGATCGATCCGTACGAAATCCAGCCTGTTGATGTCGAAGTTAGGCGTCTACGAAGTCCTTCATTCTGTTTAACAGTATCCTGTTGAATACTTTGCCTGGTATTGAGAGAAGAGTGATGCCTCTGTAGTTCTCACACTTGCTGAGATCGCCTTTCTTCGGTATTTTGATGAGGTATGCTTCTTTCCAATCTGATGGTACTTGTTCCTCATCCCAAATCTTGTTGAAGAGGATGTGAAATATTTTCGCGGTTGCTTCTACATCTGCTTTCATTGCCTCTGCTGGAATGTTGTCTGGTCCTGCTGCTTTGCCGTTCTTGATTTTTCTGATGGCCATACTGATCTCTTCTATTGTAGGTGAGCGAAAGTTAATTGGGAGGTCCTTAGATGCTGCTTCGATGTTGGGTGGGTTCAGTGGAGCTGGTCGATTCAAGAGTTCCTTAAAGTGCTCTACCCACCTATTTCGCTGTTCTTCAGTATTGCTGATTATTTTCCCTCCCTTGCTTTTCACTGGTCGTTCTGGTTTACGATAGTTTCCGGCGAGCTTCTTTGTTGTTTCGTACAATTGTCTCAAATTTCCTTCTCTTGCAGCCTTTTCCGCCGTCATTGCTAGATCTTCCACATATTTTCGTTTGTCAGCTCTGATGCTCTTCTTCACTTCCCTGTTTGCTTCTGTATATGCAGCTTGTGCGGTAAGTTTCTCTGCTCTTGTTTGGCTGACATTGATTGCTGCTCTCTTCAACTTTTGCAAGAGTATCAACAGAGATCCATTCCTTGTGATGGTACTTCTTGTGACCCAGAACCTCATGACATATTGAAGTGATTGCCTCCTTAATCCCTTTCCAATTGTTCTCCAATATTGCTTCCTCTCCATTGACTATATTGTGAAGGCCTGTAACCTATTGGTGAGGGCTACCTTGAATTCGTTGAGCTTTACAGTATCCCGAAGAAGGGCCGTATTAAACTTCTGTGATGTCGTCTGTCCCGTTGTCCAGTGCTTCTTTAGTTTCAGTTTCATTTTGGCGATTAGCAAATGGTGATCTGAGGCTACATCAGCTCC